CCCCAGCCCCCTGGCGCGGCTGGCACCGCAAGCCCCACCTGCCCCTGGCCCCTCGTACCCCACCACTCTCAGAGCCATCAGCTGCCTTCCAGCCGGCCGGCCAGCCAGCCAGCCAGCCGGCCGGTGGCCCTCACAGGCAGCGGCGTCCCAACTCTTGGGTCCCAGCAGCCCCAGCCCCTCCCCGGGTGGGTGGCCTGGACCCCGACTCCCGCCGCAGACCTGGGTTGTCTCTTTGCTGTAGGCTTTTTGCCTCCCTTCTCCTTTAGCCCCCGGCCCACCCGCGCCACAAGCCCCACCTGCCCCTGGCCCCTCGTACCCCACCACTCTCAGAGCCATCAGCTACCTTCCAGCCGGCCGGCCAGCCAGCCGGCCGGTGGCCCTCACAGGCAGCGGCGTCCCAACTCTTGGGTCCCAGCAGCCCCAGCCCCTCCCCGGGTGGGTGGCCTGGACTCCGACTCCCGCCGCAGACCTGGGTTGTCTCTGTGCGGCCCGCAAGCCCCTCTGCATTCGGCTTCCAGGAAACCAGATGACAGTTAGGTCTCCATCTGGGGCTCTCTTGGCATGCCTCAGGCAATCCTGGGGGCTGCCCCACCCCCAGCCCCAGCTGCATCCTCGCACACGACCACGCGTCCTCCAGCGCGGGCGCACACACACGGACACACACCCACACACACCCCTGCAGGTCAAGAGCCTGAAATACACACACACCACACACATGCTGCCGAGCCTGAAACACACACACACACTGCCGAGACAGGTCAGGAGCCTGAAACCAAAGGTAAGGGAGACAAAGAAAAAGACAGCAAGAGGACCACACAGGCTTCCCAACCCCCGGCCTCCACACCCTCCAGCCTCCATTTTGGGCATTCACTGGGCTCCCAGTCGGCCTGACCATACCCTCGCTAACCGACACACTAACACATCGATCCCTGATCCAGGAAGATTCCACAAGCTGCAGAGCAACTGAGCCTATAAGCCACAACTATTGAGCCTGTGCTCTAGAGCCCAGAAGCGCAACTACGGAACTAACATGCTGCAACAACTGAAGCCCATGCGCCCTAGAGCCTGTGCTCCAAAGTAAAAGAAGGCACCACGAACAGAAGTCCACACGTAACTAAAGAGTAGCCCCAGCTCACCGCAACTAGAGAAAAAAGCCCTTGCAGTAACAAAGACACAGCACAGCCAAAAATATAAAATTATTTTCTTAAATGTTCTAGGTTTATTTTTTATTTTTACTTTTTTGAATACATATCAAATAGAAAAGGCAGAAAACAGTATTGCAGAAAAAAGTCCCTTCCTTTCCCCTTCAGCCCCTAGAACCCCAGTGCCACTCCCACCTCTGAGGGGGGATTGTTACCATTTTTAAACACATCTAGAGGTATTTTGGGGCTTCCCAGGTGGCCCTAGTCATAAAGAACCCTTCTGACAATGCAGGAATGTGGGTTTGATCCCTGGGTCAGGACAATCCCGTGGAGGAGGGCATGGCAACCCACTCCAGTATTCTTGCCTGGAGAATCCCACTGACAGAGGAGCCTGGCGGGCTACAGTCCATAGGGTCACCAAGAGTCGGACATGGCTGAAGTGACTTAGCGCATATGCAGAGGTATTTTATTATCCATATTCAGGCAGATATGCATACATATGTATGTATAACCACATATGGACACACACCATATGATAGACCGCTATGTATGCTATGATGCCTGAAGATAATTTCTGAAAGGTCACACTGACTGCCCCCGCCAAAAAGTCCCAGATAAGTACCAGGGGCAGACATCCACCAATCAGCAGCCCGTTGCCAGGCAGACTGATGGATGCGAAGGTGCCAAGACTCCGGCCAATCAAGAAAAACCGACACGGGACAAAAGGCCAATCAGCACCCTAGAGCCTGACTCCAAGCATATTCGAAAAGGTCCCGCCGCTTCCGTATCCGCCAGGATATATAGGTGCCGCCCCCTTCCCGCAGGTTGCAAACTCCCTTTGTCTCTTCACTCACCCGCCCCCGGGAGTTCTGCCCGAGAGCGACCGCCCAATAAAGGCCTTCATCAATGGTCCTTAGAGGTGGCTCTTTCTTCCCGCGGCGTTTTCTAAATCTGGCACCCAACGTGGGGCTCAAGGTGAGGGCCCCCGGCACTCGCCGTTGAGGCCCCCTAGAGCTCCATCGCCACGGTAGCCCCGGACACAGGCGGCTGACCAACTCCCCGGACGGCAGGATACGGGGTAAGTCCCCTCGGCTTTGTGGCCTGCCCTCCCTGGCGACCATCTCCTAGGGCCCAGTAACGGGTGCGCACTTACTGGGCCCTCCCGGTCACCAGCTTGTGGGGAGACGTCCCCAGCGGCTGAGTAGACCTCCGGCTTCGGCCTTTTCCGGTCACTGGCTCATGAGGGAGACGTCCCAAGCAGCTGAGTAGACCTCCGGCTTCGGCCTTTCCTGGTCCCCAGCTCGTGAGGAAGACGTTCCGAACTGCTGAAAGGACCTCCGGCTTCCCTTGACACGTCCGAAGACGTTCGGAGAGCGGGGGTTGCCTCCACGCCCCGTGGTCGCCATGGGATTGACAGCCTCCAAACCCGATCCCCAATACTCCACACCATTAGAGTGCCTGCTGGCTAACCTGCGGGCCCTAAGACTAAAGGGATATATCCGCCCCAAGCAGCTCACTTTTCTGTGTTCACAGGCCTGGCCTCAGTATTCCCTACATAATGGCTCACAATGGCCAGCCACAGGGACATTAGACTTTGACATCCTCCGTGATTTAGATAATTACTGCCAGAGAACAGGAAAATGGTCTGAGGTCCCCTATGTTCAGGCCTTTTGGGCGTTGCGCTCTCGCCCCACCCTGTGCACCACGTGTGCTCCTAGCCAAATCCTACTCACCATGGCCCCCCCCGACTCCACCCTCCCGGGCCAAGCCAACTTCTCCCGTCTCTGAGTCCTCTGCTTTCTCTGTTCCCCCAGAAGATCTGGTGGCCCCCGCTCCCTATACCTCTCCCACGGGCCCCACCCCTTCCTCTCCGGTTCCTGCCCCCTCCTCCCCCACTTCGGCTCCTCTGAGTCCAGCAGCTCCCTCCCCAACTTCGGCTCCTCTGAGTCCAGTAGCTCCCTCCCCCACTTCAGCTCCTCTGAGTCCAGCAGCTCCCTCCCCCACCTCTGCCCCTGTAGCTGCCCCGACAACACCTCCCCACACTTCCTCAGTTGATACACAACCGACTGAAACTATACACTCCCCTCCTACTCCCATTCTCTATCCTCCATTACCGACCTTGACACCCTCCCCATCACCAGTTAGCTCACACACACGGTCCCACGGACAGTCATCCCGAAATTCTTTTCCCTGTGCCCCGGCTCCCCTACTCCCTCTGAGACAGGTAGCCGGAGCCAAGGGCTTGGCACAGGTCCACGTCCCTTTCTCCCTTCCCGACCTGTCTCAAATCGAGGCCAAGCTTGGGTCATTCTCATCCAACCCTACCCATTACATCAAACAGTTCACCCAACTGACCTGCTCATACGCCTTAACCTGGAAAGATATCTATGTAGTCTTACGTTCCACTACTACCCTAGAAGAGCGACAAGCCATCTGGACGGCTGCTAGAGCCCAGGCTGACCAGAGACACTTTGCTAATCCCTCCCCCGAACTAGGCTGACCAGAGACACTTTGCTAATCCCTCCCCCAAACGCCCCCCAGGGGCCGAGGCAGTCCCAGACACAGACCCTGACTGGGACTATCAAGAGACTGGGGGAGGCGAACTCAGGGTCAGATATATGGTAGAGTGCCTCCTAGATGGCATGGAAGCCACTTCTAATAAAGTGGTCAACTTCCTCAAGCTGGATGAGATCCCCCAGGGCCCTGACGAAAACCCCGCTATGTTCTGGAATAGGCTGACAGAGGCCTTATCCAGTATACCAGATTGGCCCCAGACTCCCCATCCGGAGCAGTCACCCTGGCCAGTCCTCATACACCTAAAAGACCCCACCTGTTTTCTGGCTCAGCCCCAGTTTCCCCTGTCCCAGTCCAACCTTCGAGGACTTAAGCCAATCATTGACCGCCTCCTGGGACAGGGCCTACTGGTCCCCACCCATGTAACACCCCCATCCTTCCGGTCCGTAAGGCCTCAGGGACCTACTGACTAGTCCAAGACCTCCGACTTATTAACGAGGCCATCGTTCCTTCACATCCGCTAGTCTCTAATCCCTATACTTTATTATCCCAAATACACATGGGCACCACCCACTTCACAGTTATCGATCTCAAAGATGCATTCTTTTCCATCCCAATCCACCCCGACTGTCAATTTCTGTTCGCCTTCACCTGGACCGATCCTGACACCAGACAGGCCACTCAACTCACATGGACAGTCCTGCCTCAGGGGTTTCGAGATAGCCCTCATTACTTCGGCCAGGCCCTGGCCCGGGACCTGGCCCTCTGCCCTCTTAGCCCTAGTACCCTGCTCCAATATGTGGATGACCTCTTACTATGTAGCCCTTCCGAAGATCTCTCAAAACAACACACCATAACTCTCCTTAACTTCCTGGCCTCCAAAGGATACCAGGCCTCACAGTCAAAGGCCCAACTCACTCAGTCCTCAGTTACTTACCTGGGATTACAAATTACCCCCACCACCAAGGCCCTTACAACCGACCGGTGACAACTCCTCCGGTCTATCCAGCCTCCAACTAACGGAGACCAAATCCTGTCTTTTCTGGGCCTGGCGGGATTCTTCCACCATTGGGTTCCCAACTATGCCTCACTGGCAAAACCCCTCTATGCAGCAGCAAAAGAAACCCTAAAGGAGCCACTATCCTTACAAAATGAGGTCACCCGAGCCTTTCTCATGTTACAGTCTGCTCTGACATCTGCCGCTCCCCTCTCCCTGCCTAATCATCTCTATACTGCCATATCATCTCTATACTGATGAAAAAGGGGGAGTAGCCTTTGGGGCCCTGGTACAGCCGGTGGGCTCTGAGTTGCTGCCTGTTGCCTTCATCTCCAAACAACTGGACCCCACTGCCAGGGGATGGTTCCCCTGCCTACGGGCACTGGCAGCAGCAGCAGCAGTTTACATGGACGCAAAAAAGTTACTTTAAAATCAACCTCTAACCATTTTCTCCCCTCACAGCCTCAGTGACCTCCTGGCTTCCAGATTCCTCTCTGACCTCAGTGACTCCAGACTACAGCAGTTCCACCTAATATTCCTAGACAACCCGCAGGTCGCCGTGGGACGTAGTTCCCAGCTGAACCCGCTATCTGCGCTTCCCTCTCTCCCGATTTCCTTAAGAGTCCCGGCTCACCAGTGTACCGAGATCTTGGACTCTCTGACACAGCCACCGCCAAACCTCTTTGCAGAGCCACTGCCAGACCCCGATATGACCATGTTTGTCGATGGGAGTTCCAAAAAGGACCCAGATGGGCGCCGGGCAGCGGCCTACGCTGTAGTCACCCTACAGAAAGTCCTTGAGGCCCAACCCCTCCCACTAGGAACAACTTCCCAAAAAGCAGAACTAACTGCACTGACCCGAGCCTTACACCTGGCAAAAAACAAAAGGGCCAATATCTACACGGACTCTAAGTACGCTTTCCTAATCGCCCACTCACATGCGGCAATCTGGAAAGAGAGGGGCTTTCTCACCACTAAAGGCTCCCCAATATGTAATGCCTCCCATATTACCAAACTACTGGAGGCCATCCCCCTGCCAAAAGAAGTGGCCATCTTACATTGCCGGGGACACCAGGCAGCTCGCGATAAAATAGCCCAGGGTAATAATTTGGCTGACCAGGTGGCCCGGCAAACTGCCCTGCAGCGAGAGGTGGCCCCTCTACTGGTCCTGGAGACCTCCTTTATCCCTAAATACACCAAGGCAGAAACCAGAGCGCTACTCGCCCAGGAGGGGACACAAACACATCCTTCCGGATGGATCACCCTCCACGAAAAACTGGTCCTCCCTGAACAACAAGCCATCACCATCATAAAGCAGATCCATGACGCCCTCCATATCGGACCGCGAGCTCTCTTAAATTTCCTTAGCCCGCTCTTCTCCCCTCTTCATCTTAGGCAGGCCATCCAGACCGTACACCGCTCCTGTCTGACCTGCGCAACAATCTCTCCTCAAGGAGGGCTCCGGCCCCCCCCAAGAAACCCACCAGCTGAGAGGACATCTGCCCGGTCAAGATTGGCAGGTGGGCTTCACTCATATGCCCAGACACCGGGGTTATCGTTATCTGCTGGTACTCGTAGACACATTCTCAGGATGGGTCGAGGCCTTCCCCACCTCCTGCGAAACGGCCGCAATAATATCCGGAACGCTGGTCAAACACATCGTCCCCCGGTTCGGACTCCCTAACTCCCTCCAGTCCGATAACGGACCTGCTTTTGTTTCGCAGATAACCCAGCAGGTAGCTGCAGCCCTCAACATCACCTGGCATCTTCACATCCCGTACCGACCCCAGTCATCGGGTAAAGTAGAACGGGCCAACGGGGTCCTCAAGGCCCACCTCGCCAAGCTCGCCTCAGAAGTGCGGCTCTCCTGGGTTGACCTCCTCCCCTTGGCTCTCACCCGCATCCGCACAACACCGCACTCAAAGACAGGTTTGACCCCCTTCGAGCTGCTGTACAGCAGGCCCTACCTGCTGACCCATCTGCCCCCAGAAAAACCACCTCCCCTGGCCAATTACCTGCCCCTTTTCACCCGCCTGCACGCCTTACTCAAGGAACACGCAGATCGGGTCCTGCCACAACCTAGAGACGGTGACGGCCCCATCAGACCACTGTCGCCTGGAGACCAGGTGCTACTCAAGACCTTGTCTCCCAGGCCCCTCCAACCTCTTTGGGTGGGTCCTTACACAGTGGTCCTGACCACCCCTACTGCAGCCAAGCTCTCAGGCCTCGAACCCTGGTACCACATGGCCAGGCTCAAACGAGCTCCCCCAGGTCTTCCAAAAAGAGAGCCAGGCTTAGACTCAGGTCCAGGGGCTTCGCCAGGACACACATACCAGTCCTCCCTAACGGGGCCCACAAAACTAAAGATCTCCCAGACCCCCTTTCCACCTGCTATCAGAAAATGACAGGTACCCTTCTATTGCTTGTTCTCCTTGGTCAGACCTATGGGGGATTTGATGACCCAGCTAAAGCGAGACAAATCCTGGCCAGGCATATGGGAAAGCCTTGCGACTGCGCCGGGGGAACTCTCTCCCAATATCCCGAGGGAAGGGTCAGACACATCCAATCAGTCAACTGTGGAGACAAAATGGCTTACAACTGTATAGGAGAGGGATTTGAGGCTTCCTTAGAGGGGTACACATACATTGGAAAGGCCAATTCTTGGCAATGCATGCCCACAACTGATAGAAGCCTCAATAGGATACTGCCTAAGAGGCCAAATAATGGACAATGAGACAGCTCTAGACGTGGGGGTGGGAGACTTTGCCAGCTGCACCACAATACAGAACATCACCACATCAATATGCAACCCTCATCCCCTGGTCTTTGTCTGTGGAGGAAACCTGACCTATACTTTCCTCCCCACAAACTGGACTGGAACCTGCGTACTCGCAGTCCTGCTCCCAGACATTGATCTGATATCAGGAAAAGAACCAGTCCCCATACCCACTCTAGACCATGTGGCCGGGAGGGCAAAGCGAGCTGTCCAGATGGTACCCCTGCTGGTGGGACAGGGCTTATCTACCAGCCTAGCAGTGGGGGTGGCAGGGATCGGCCTCTCACAGCACACGTATGCCAAACTCTCCCAACAGATCATATCAGATGTCCAACATGTGGCTGACACCATGTTAGAACTTCAGGGGCAGATAGATTCCCTAGCAGAAGTTGTCCTCCAAAATAGACGTGGGCTAGACCTCCTCACTGCCCGAGAGGGCGGCTTATGCCTTTTCTTGCAGGAAAGATGTTGTTTCTATGCCAACCGCTCCGGAATAGTCCGGACTAAGATCAAAGAACTGCAAGACGATTTAGAACAAAGGCGCCAGCAGCTCCAAAAGAGCCCCCTTTGGGCCGGGCTCAATGGTTTACTCCCTTACCTCTTACCCCTCCTGGGCCCTATACTCCTACTAGTTATGGGCCTCACCATAGGCCCCTGCCTCCTCCAACGTGTTTTTCGCAGGGTCCAAAAAATAGCGCAGGCCGCGACCGGACGGGCCATGATACTAACAGTTTACACTCAACTCAATCAAGAAGACATAGATCCACCTCACAATCCTGCATAAGCTGACCTTTCGTCCCAACCGGCCCTGACCCCCACGTCGCCCCCGTTCAGCAGGAAGTAGCCAGAAAACAAATGTCGCCCCTTGTCCTACACCAAAAAGGCTGGGATGAAAGGTCACGCTGACTGCCCCCGCTGAAAAGTACCAGATAAGTCCCAGGGACAGACATCCACCAATCAGCAGCCCGTTGCCAGGCAGACTGATGGACGCGAAGGTGCCAAGACTCCGGCCATTCAGGAAAAACCGACATGGGACAAAAGGCCAATCAGCACCCTAGAGCCTGATTCCAACCATATTCAAAAAGGTCCCGCTGCTTCCGTATCCACCAGGGTATATAGGTGCCGCCCCCCTTCCCGCAGGTTGCAGACCCCCGCTTCTCCCCCGCTCGTGCCTGGGAGCTCTGCCCGGGAGCGATTGCCCAATAAAGCCTATTAATACTCTGGTGCTTTCTTTATCTTGCTGCTGCATTCTTACACTTATCACAGTGTATATAATGTACTCATAATAGAAATGAGGAATTGTACAGACAGAAGTAATATGCTTAATTTAAAAAGTTGAAAATTTGCTAAAATATTTCATTTTAGTTAATAATTTATTTATTTATGGCCATGCCATGCAGCATATGGGATCTTAGTTCCCTGACCAGGGATCAAACCTGTGCTCCTTGTATTGGGAGCATGGAGTCTTAACCAATGGATTGCCTGAGAAGACCACATTTTAAATTTTTATCTCAAACATCTATAAACCAAGAGCATACAGTAAAAAATAAAGCATGCATACAAATGGCAGCAGATGTTAGTAATCATTATAATAGAGAAAATGAAAAAATCACATTTATTGAAATGATTAATTCGTAAAATTTAATATTTTGCCATCATATAATAGGACATTTTATTTAGTGTCAGAAACTTCTTTCACCTTCATAGTCAATCTCAACATCTTTGCAAGCCATTTATTCCATATATCCCAATCCTTTAATCCCTTTGATTCAAAATCATGTCCTCTCTTGGATAGATTATCATTGTTTCTTATTGGTATGTTTGATGACTCATTCTTCCCAATTCAGGCTCTGCACTGAAACATGGGCAATTTTGTAAATCCAACACCAATCATGTCATTCCTTTTTGTAAAACTTTCTAAAACCCCAATCTTTCATCAGATATTTTCCAAATTTCTAAACATAGTTTAGAAGGCCTATAGCTGTGACTCTAGGCTTATCACTTTTTCTACACTGAAAGTGTACCTGGTTTTGCATTTGCCTTGCTTTTCTTTAGAATCAGGCACCATTGGGCCTTCCTGTGGATGTGATCACTTCCCAACACTCCCACCTTCCTCAAGTACATAAAAGAAAAAATCTTTTCAGCCTTTATTTTATTATTTCCTTGGGAAATCTGTGTCTCTTCATTGAGAGTTGATAGTAATATTTCTTTGTGGTCGCATGCTACTTCTATCTCATGTAGGCCAGTGCCTTCTCAAGTATTACCTGCTTGGCTCTGAGTTGGGAAAAAGCCAGGTACTTTATCTTTTTCCTTTATAATTATCTTTATTTTATAGTATATGTATTACTCAATGGATTATATATGAAAGAAAATTAAATATATTTGCAATTCAATGCAGATGCAAATCATAAACATTATTATCAAGTGTGCATGCTAGTGGCAGAGCAAATAAAAATAGGAAATGAGAAAACCATCAGAATCAGTCTTGAGTCTGAAATTTATATCTATTGTTTAACAGCTCTTTCTGTCATTTTGTGTATAGGTTTCAGATTATTCCCCTGTGAAAAAGAGATAATGTCTACTACTCTGAGTTACTGAACATTAAATTGAGTAATATATAAAGTAGAAACACAGCTCAACAAATATATTCATTCATTTTAAAAGTGTTTATTGATTTCTACTCTTAGAGAATCAAATAGTTCGGTTCAGTTCAGTTCAGTCGCTAAGTCGTGTCCAACTCTTTGTGACCCACCCCATGGACTGCAGCGCACCAGGCCTCCCTGCCCATCACCAACTCATGGAGCTTTCTCAGACTGATGTGCATTGAGTCGGTGATGCCATCCAATCATCTTAACCTCTGTCGTCCCCTTCTCCTCCCACCTTCAATCTTTCCTAGCATCAGGATCTTTTCCAATGAGTCAGTTCTTCACATCAGGTGGCCAAAGTATTGAAGTTTCATCTTCAGCATCAGTTCTTCCAATGAATATTCCAGACTGATTTCTATTAGGATTGACTGGTTGGGTCTCCTTGTAGTCCAAGGGACTCTCAAGAGTCTCCTCCAACACCACAGTTCAAAAGCATCAATTCATTATAGCTTTCTTTATAGTCTCAGCTTGCTTTATAGTCCAACTCTCACATTCATATATGACTACTGGGAAACCCATAGCTTTGACTAGATGGATCTTTGTTGGCAAAGTAATGTCTCTGCTTTTTAATATGCTGTCTAGTGTGGTCATAACTTTTCTTCCAAGGAGCAAAAGTCTTTTACTTTCATGGCTGCAGTCAGCATCTGAAGTGATTTTGGAACCCCAAAAAATCGTCTCTCACTGTTTCCGTTGTTTCCCCATCTCTTTGTCATGAAGTGATGGGACAAGATGACATGATCTTAGTTTTCTGAATGTTGAGTTTTAAGCCAACTTTTTCACCCTCCTTTTTCACTTTCTTCAAGAGGCTCTTTATTTCTTCTTCACTTTCTGTCATAAGGGTGGTTTCATCTACATATATGAGGTTATTGATATTTCTCCTGCAGTCTTGATTCCAGCTTGTGCCTCATTCAGCCCTGCATTTCACGTGATGTACTCTGCAATCAGCTAGTAATATACTATTATACTAGTACACTATACTAGCATATGATTGGCAGTATACTATTGTACTATACTAGTATACTATTAAGTAGTAGTGCACTAACTACATTGCAAAACGCTCAAGAAACTCACAGAAAGGTGTAGAGAAATTATCAATTTGTCTCTTGCCCTTCTGCACTTTTATTTCAACTTAGTCCTCAGAGGAAGAATTTGCTCATACAACTGTTTGAAGTCAAGACTAGGCTAAAACCATGTTCTTTTATTTGTCTTCATGTTGCTAAATCTGTAAACTCAATCAATCTCTCTCTCTGTCTTATCTTTTCAATTCCTTTCACTTTTATTCATTTCTTTTATCCCTCCTCAGTTGACCTTACTGCTTGTCCAGCCATGGGCCCACAGAAATTGTATGCACAGCTTCAAATTTCTGTACTACACAACAGCACCAAAGGAACAAAATCCAAAGATTTAGATCCAGGCTTAATGAAACATACCAACTCCTTAGTTCCATTAATTATATACAAATTATCTTCCCCATTTTTTTTGAGTTTTGTGGTATTATACTATGTTTTAGCTAAATAATAAGCATATAATGATAGTATTGCATTATTAGTAAAGTAATAGTTTCAATAATTGAGTACAGTATCATATTCTGTTGTTTCATGTAGGAATTGCTGTCTTTGTAACCTCACTGATAGCAGGTGTGAAGATATAGGAGGAACTGAGATAAATTTCTGGACAAATGTCAACTAATACCACATCATCTCTACTTCTCAATGGAATAAACTGAAGCTTGGCTGTGTCAGTCACGTTAGGTGACTTTTCAAAGCTATTTAACATTATTTGGCTGGCATTGCTCCAACACCACTCTTTTAAATCCCAGTTTTAGGAGTTGGCATAAAAGTAATAGAACTTGGTCCAAGAATTATTTGATTTGAGATTAATTCAATTTTTAAATAATCTATACAGCAGAATGATATTTTGCAGTAGATGTTTAGAAAAGTGGTAAGTTCATAACCACATTCAGAGAGCAGATTTCAAATAGTGGGCTTGAGCTCAGTTGCTTCATGCATTGAAATGTCTTCTCTCAAACAAGATGGCTAATCTGGACAGCAACATCTGCCATAAATTGCATGGCATATTACCACTTTCCTAGCCAGAAGTTGTTATCATGAAGTTATTGTCATTCATTCTGTATTTTATTGAAGAAATGCTTGAAAGTTGTAGCAATAAAGCATGTTGACATCTGGAGTTTTGTGAGGCAGGATAAGTTGAATCATGAGGTTAATGGACTTCAAATACATGTTCTGAGAAAAAAAGTTGGTCTTTGAGACTGACTGGATGATCACAAGAAGGTATAAGAGGCACAGACGTATTGCTCAAATGACACTTATTAGCTGTATTTTTACTGAAATATAGCCTCTGGCTTGACTCTTACTTGTGTGTGTGCGTGTGTGTGTGTGTGTGTGTGTGTGTGTATGCGCGTGTGCATGCTCAGTTGTGTCTAAATCTTTGTGACCTGATACATGGACTGTAGCCCACCAGGCTCCTCTGTTCATGGGATTTCCCAGGAAAGAATACTGAAGCTGGCTGCTACTTCCTCCTCCAGGGCATCTTCCCAATCCAGGGATCAAACTCACACCTCTTGCATCTCCTGCATTAGTAGGTGAATTCTTTACCACTGCTCCATCTGGGAATCCCATGACTCTTACTTGCTAAGCTAATACATTATCAATAATGTTTCTACAGCATGAAGAGGTCAGTAATTGATATTGGCTTTACTTACTTAGAAATAGAGCCTTGTGATAAAGCTCTTAGAGGAATCCCTGTGAAATATGGCAATTAATCATGCTTGTTTACAGTGAGAATGAAGAGGGTGGGAGAATTGGCACCCTTTGGGGAGCACCTAAGTTCTCAGTATGACTTACACATAAACCCAATTTCCAAATGCCAATGGTCTGTATGCCTATCTGTGTATGAGAACAGGAATTGTTTCTCATTTCTCAACCTCATGTAGGGCCAAATATTAATTAAATATATATCTTAAAATATATGAAACACAAACAGACACATCCTTTGGAATTCATTTCATATCGCTATGTAATACACTTGCAGCAATCACCTCTAGGCTTCCCCTCCAGAATCTAGAAGCTCGCTCACTATTCCTAAAC